CACCTCACATGGCCAGACAAAACTGTTTAATATACTCTCTTTCACCTAGTTCTAGGTAATCTTCAATACCCTTTTTATTACCTATTTTCAATGCTCTTGATATGATTGATTTCATTTCCTTGGACTATTGACTGGAATTAGATTTGCCTCTCAAACCTTTCTCCACATTACAGAGATTATAAATGCTGATTTTAAAATACAAATCAGACCATGTGGTTTTCTTTGTAGAACACCTTCCATAAACCCCATTTTGTATAGAATAAAATTCAAATACCTATGCACATGCATGTTTGCAAAGATAATAAATTTCTGAGACAAATTTAAAAATTCTTGTGGATTTGGATGTTGTATAGTATGAGGCACTGCATATCCTCTGCTTGCCCCTCTGGATAAGTCTTCACCTTCTTCCAGCACTGGAAATGGACTATTATGGTCATTAGACTCCTTGTCCATTGGTTTCCTGCTGAGTTTGTGTCTCAGTTAACTGAGGCTGCTGTAACAAACTACCATAAACTGGGCAGCTTATAAACAACAATAATTTATTTCTCACAGTTCAGGAGGCTGGGAATATCAAGACCAAAGCACTGGCAGATTCAATATCTGATGAAGCCTCAATTTCTAGACATCAGTCTACACTGTCACCTCATAAGGCAGAGGGGGCCAGCTAGTTCTCTGCCATCTCTTTGATAGAGGCACTAATCTCATTCACAGAGGCTTTATTCTCATGACCTATTCTTCTCCCAGTGGTCCAATGTCCTAAGACCATCACCTTGGGTTTTTGCTTTCGACGTGTAACTTTTGGGAGAACACAGACATTCAGACCATAACAATTTAGCTAATGAGTAGAAAGGTAACACTGTTAATAGGTATGTGATAGGATGTAGGGTGAGTTGGTTCATGCATGCCCCACCTTCATCCTTCAGCCTGACTCTTCCCCTCACCTTAAGGCCCTTGCCATGCTTTCCCCTACATATCACTTGTCTTGGGGTGCAACAATGTTTATATGGGTTGCCTCTATCCATTAGTTGCATGTTTACATACATTATTTCTTTATTGGGTGCTTTTCAAATTATTCAATTTGGGGTGGGGAGCATTTGTTTGTTTCCATCTATGACTATGACACATGTGAAAGTAAAGGAAGGACATGGAGAGGAGTTGAAGATGATTTCAAGGGTTTGCTCTTTTGTTTGTTCTTAACATGAAACGGAATATTGGTTGCTCCCTGTATAAAGACACGAAAAAATACAATATCAGGTCTGGTCCAGAGTTGGCGTTTCACTTCTTCACGTCTATCTCCATACCTAGATTTATCTCATCTCATTTTCTCACTTCTTCCTCAGGTTCCAACCATAGCAGGCTAAATATAGCCATATTTTTTCCATGCACCATATTTTTCCATAAAGTTTTCTTTGTCTTATATCTTCTCTGAATAGTCTACTTAAAGTCTGTTTAAATCACACCCTGGCCTCTGACACTGGTCATATTTACCCTTCTCTCCATTTCATAGCAAATTAAACATATACTTCTATGACTATTTTTCTATAATTCAGCCTTTACAACAATTATCCAAACTAGATGGGAGTTTATATTCAAGAGAAAGACAAACATAATATTGTATATGTATAAAGCCAGTACTTAACCAAATTGTATAACCAGTACAAAACAAAATTTTTAACATGTAAGAGTCATTAAGTAAAGATTGACTGAATATTTCTATGGGTAAGTAAATATATAGATGGGTTCATGCAATACAGTTTAGAAATATTTTGTGGGCCTTGAATTATTAAGTTGGTCATTGATTTGGAACGACTTGACCAGCAATGTCAAACATTTTTACCTGTTCAGTTTAGTACAGATGCCTTAGTTGAAATAGATACACACAAATGGAAAAGTACTAAATTTTTGAATTTAAAAATAAAATAGGAAATTGATTGGTCTGTGAGGGGGGAACTAGGGGAGGGACAGCTGAGGGGTGAGGAGTTAGGGAGGGATAACATGGGGAGAAATGCCAGATATAGGTGACGGGGAGGAAGACAGCAAACCACATTGCCATGTATGTACCTATGCAACAATCTTGCATGTTCTTCACATGTACCCCAAAATCTAAAATGCAAAAAATATATATAAATCAAACAAACAAAAAAACACTTAAGGGAAGTACATCATAGTACTGATGAATCAGAAGATCGTGCATTTTCATAAAAGTCTGAAATGCACCAATACCCAAGGATGATACAAGGACTAAAATGGCATAAGTGGCAAGGGTGAAAAGTGAAATCAGATTCCCAACTGATTGTGTTCAATGAAGCTCTCATGTCACTACAGTTCCTGGGACGGATGTCAACTTAGTTCATTTTATTCATATCCTTAAACTACTTCTAAAGTTTAGAGTCAGACACTATTGTGCTTGAACTGTTAGCTAACATTTTAGGCAGTAGGTTACATGTCTCATGAGATCTATCAGTGCCAATTTTCTCAAAGATGATAACAGAAAAATGTAAAGTAAAAAAATAATTGTATATGAGGTTATACCAAGAGTATAATATTCAGAAAGAGAAACTTTGTCATTATACTATAACATCCTATTATAACAATCCTAAATGAGCCTTTTGTTTTGATTTTATTGTTGTTACTATTGAAAGCCTATATATTTCAAGTAACTCGAGTTACAAAACTACATTTGGATAAATGCTCTTTTCACTGACCTGCATAACCTAAAGTGATCAGAAGAAATAACATAAATGGAAACCAAAATTGCAAATTATATACAAACTCAAAGATAAAGCTAAAATCTTTCACAAACCACAATTGACACAATATAATTATCAATCACGTTGTGGTAACAGATGTATAGATTCACGACTTTTATAGTTGAAAATTATTATAATGTTATATATTTTAAAATACAAATTATGTTTCAATAATATCTAAGAGGAGCAGACCCTTTGAGTTAATTTAAACATTCCTAATGATACAGAAATTATTAGTTCATTTTAACCCAGCCAGTTATTAGAAGTTCTTCCTTACTATTATGGCAACATTTGTCTACCCACTGCTCCCTTCATGGAATTCTACAGCAAATCTTATTTTTCAGATATGTAATAAACCTTTAAATATTTGAAGATAGATACCTCTTCCTAAGTTTTCCAGAGAAACATCCTGAATTGTCCAATTATATTTTGGTTTGGAGATGATCACCATTCTGACCACCATCACCAGGGCTTATTAAGTTAACAATCTTGTTTAAAAATATATAGATAGATAGATAGATAGATAGATATAGATATATACACTGAAGTGATTGTAACTTGCTCAGATTCAGTGTTTTATGACTTGTCTAGTATAAGGGTTATGAAATAACATTAGTAAACAGAAGTTAACCACATCATCATTTTTAGTCTAGTTATTACATTCTATCTAATTATTCAAAAATATGTCTATTAGATGTGGGAAACTATATAGTTATTTGAACAAGGAAAGCTTAATATAAATCAGAATCAACTGTAACAGGAGGTTGGAATAAGGTATTGGTTAGTAAGGCATAGAGAGCAGTAAAGAGAAGTGCAAAGAACATGAGAGCACAGATAGAAGGTACAGCCACTACTTTCTGGATTGGGTTGGAACACACCAGGCAAACTTGCTACTTCCTGAGGACTTAGACCCAGTCTTTTGTAGAAGAGAGCGTATCATGGCTCTCTGAGTATCACAGAGGTTTCTGTAGTTATCTGATGGCAAAACTGGCAGAAAATCTGCTCTCTGGGGTGCCAGAAAAAGCTACTTATGGGAGCATGTCTCAGTGGTGGTGCTTTACTCCAAAACCACCCAAGAAAGAGTGTTAGAGGAATCTGTTAGCCTCTGAGTTCTGTTAGCTGCCTACTAAATAATTTGGATGATGGTACAGATGCTTGCATTATGGGAGCCTAGACCTAGAGAAAGAATACAGGTTCTGGAGAAACTGCCTGTTTTGCAAGAACCAAGCACTGAAGAAAGCCATACATGCTGCCGGTGTGCAGTGCTGGACAAGGCATTCATTCCACTGAAGCCACCAGAAAAGCCCCTTGGTGCTGAGGGAATGTGTTCTCTTTCTGGGTCCACGAGGGAGTGTAGTTTTAAGGGCAAGAATTTCCCAGCACCATGCCCCCCTCCCTTCCATCTCCATCCAGGAGATTTAACAGTTTCTGTTTTAATATTTGCGGGCGCGTGAAACGGTCAAAGTTAGTCACTCCAACAGAAGTACTAAGGAATTCCTTTCATTGGCCTGGGGTCTTAGAAAAGGTGGGGGTCCCTCCCAGGTTAAAAGTCCCCTTCTTCCACACCCCTTCAGAATCCACGTTTGGATCCCATTCCATGAACACTCCATTCCTGGAAGCCGTTTTTCCCTCTCCTGGATTTTCCCTCTGGAGTCCCCTTCTGCACTCACTCGTGGAAGCCTGTCTTCCCCTCCTAAACTCCATCTCTCTCCAGCCTTCCACTCAGTGTGGAAGCTGGTTTCCTCCCCTGGTTTCCGTCTTTCTGGATTCTCTCACTCAGTGTGAGAATTAGCTGTTTCTCTCGCTCTCTCGCTCTCTCGCTCTCTCTCTTTCTCTCTAAATAAATCACATTCTACAAACACTTTCGAGTCCGGCATTTACTGAGCACTCCGCTGTGGTCCCCTCTTTCATTCTTAACAGGACAGGAGACCAAGAACCTAAAGAAACATGCTCTCAGGGAGCTGAGGTCACCCTGAGCCCCTATGTTACATTTTGTTGATCCAGCCAGGAGAGGGGTCCACCAGAAAAAGGGGTACAGCCAGAAGAGGGGTACAGCCAAGAGAGGAAGACTTCAAAATTGTGAGTAAAGCCAGCCCCATTCTGTCCTGTCTCTTTAAGAACACCTGAAGCAGGGCTTTGCGGAACCAGAACAGCCTCACCAAGCCTTAGAGGCGCAACCCAGCCCGTCTTAAGCAGTGTGGACCAGCCAGAATTAAAAGCACAGTTTTTTTTTTTTTTTTTTTTTTTTACCTTCAAGCTCTCTCTCTGCTTTCCCGCTCCTTCTCTATCCTTTGGATATTATCTCTGGGACCAAAACCTGCAGGAGTCTGTGGGGCAGAGCAGGCGAGCACTGCCCCCAGGAGCTAAAGGAATAGCTCAGCCCTGGGGGCGGAAGCCAGCACAGAGGTCCGCCAGAGAAAAACAGCCGGGAGGAGAGAGTTACAGCCTGAGCCCGCAGGGGACCGGGAATCCTGGGGGCCTGGCGCATGGTTCTGGCAGGCCTCTCCAGTGTTCCCCAGTCCCAGGCAGCAGTGTAAAAAGGCTCCCCAGGGCATTTGCCTGCCTGCAGGGGTCCCTGTGTGGACAGTAGCTCGGGGAGTGGCCCATGCCTGGTTCTGGTGGGGTCAACATGGCGGCCAAAAGCTGTGGGGGTGGGGAACTCAGCAGCGGCTGCAAATGCGGCTTTTAAACTGAGGTGGTAAGGGGCTTGTTTGCGGCTGAGGGAAAGGAAGTGGCTGTTGGCCCTCAGCCCCGTGCAGCTTTTTTTTTTTTTTTTTTTTTTAAGACTAGTCAAGTGCAGTAGTGAGAAGGCGGGAAAGAGTAGAAGAAGGAGCTTTTAGGCAGGACACACCATCTCAGGGTGCACCATTCTCATTCAAAATATGGCTTAAGAAAGCTTTCTGCCTTTGCTTTACACAAGTGGTCTGCTTGCATAGTTGGTTAAGGCATAGGGCCTACAGCTGCAAGGTTGCTGGTTCAAATCCCCAGTGGAGCCAGTCTTGGTTTGGGGATATGGGGTCTTTGTACTTGGTGTGTGATTTTCCTTGCATAGGATTGGCTCTCTCTCTGCGGCAGAACTTTTCCATCTAGAAGATCATAGTTAAACCAATTCCAGGGCCCAAATAGTTAATGGCAGCCCTCACTTCCCTAAAGGCATTTTCCTACAATGGAAGATGGGTTATGGGAGAGGAGGCTTAGGTCCTAAGGGTATTGTTCTGGCCTCAGCTATGCCCAGCCTGCCTTTTTTGAACTGTGTGCTCTAATGGTTCCTTTCTAGAAGTTTACTGTTCTGGGGCTGTTTTGTAAATTGGCCTGGGTAAATTGGACTTTTGCTAGGAAATATTTGTGCCCATCTCCTGAGCCTCGCTGGCCTTGTCAGCACTCGTTGGTGCCCCCTCTCATTCCATGTGTCTATGGTAGTCCCTGGAGGTCATGCAGGCAGTGTGAGTGCTCCTATGACGCTGGTAGGCTGTGATTGAAATCCAGTATATGGAAGGCCCTCTGATAAGATGGATCATGCATCTTGGGCACACGAAATTTCAGGGTACTGACTGAAAGACATTTCATTTCAGTACCTGTTTTAAATAAGGGATGCCTTAGGTCGAAGCTGCTGTAATTTCTTTAACCAGGGGTGCAGGCATCCCATGTGTTTGATTTCAGATGGGTGCTTCTGTTCCCAAGCTCAAGTCTCCATTAAAGTGTACACTGGAAAATTGGGACCAATTTAGCACAGTCTTTAAAGAAGAAGTGGCTTATTTTTGTCTGTCAAATAGCATGGCCAAATTACACTCTGCCCAGTGGAAACCTAACCCCTAAAGGGAAGGGGAAAAAACCCAGCAGCTTTCCATAAGCAATTGTGGAATGCCTTAATAAAGTACACCCCCTGTCACCAGACTCCACTGAGAATCAGTTAATACTAAAGGACAAGTCTGCTACTCAGTCAGCAGCAGATATCAGGTGGAAGCTCTCCAGAAGCTGGCTTTGGGACCAGAACAGAGTCTGGAATCATTACTGAACCAGACAACCTTCGTGTTTATAATAGAGACCAGGAGGAACAGGCTGAAAGGAACAGGAGAGATCAGCCTTAGTCATGGCTTTCAGGCAAGCAGACCCAGGGGCTCAAATGAGGGAAAGGTTCAGGTTAGCCACCAGGCTGGCAGGACTTGCTACCAGTGCAGTCTGAAGAGACATTTTATAAGAATTGTGCCCAGGGGAATGGGCCACCATCTCGTCCATGCCTGCTGTGCCAAGGGAATCACTGGAAAACACACTGCCCCAAGGGGTGAAGGTCCTCAGGGCCTGAGGGGTCTGACCAGACTACCCAATGGAAGGACTAAGGGTCCCTGGAGCAAGTGCCAGCAGGAGCCATCACCCTCGCAAAGCCCTGAGTAAAGCTGACCATAGAGGCCCAGGAAGTCAATCTTCTCCTGAACACTGGCACAGCCTTCTTAGTACTTCTCTCCTGCCCTGGAGGCCTGATGTTTATTAAATCTCTCCCCTCAGACTCTCCCTTTCTAGGCCCGTCTTGGGAAGGGCCATTTTCAGTTATTCTGTCTACCCCAATGGCAGTTAAATTGGTGGGAATTGACTCATGGATTCATCACACTCGGCTGAAGCCTTGGACACCTCCTGAAGAAAGTCATAGACCCTCCACTCCACAGCCTGAAGTTCCAGGAGATGACCCTTCATCCACCTGTGAGCCATTAGATAATCTATATCTGTTTTTCCAAGAAGATCTTCAGGGAAGTAACCACTCATAAGTCTAACTTATATCCTGGCATTATTAGGACTACAAACCTCAACTTCGATATCTCTCAAACTCCGATTAGCCTTTTCATAGTGGGAAGGGAACCTGTCTCTTTCTAGGAAAAATGCTGCTATTTTGTAAACCAGTTAAGTATTGTGAGGCTTGTTTAACAACTGACTGTCCTGGCTCTGTTTTCTCCTAGTCTCATTTATAACCATTCTATGTTTGTTGGCCTCTGGGCCTCATCTTTAACCACCTTGTCACACTCGTTTCTTATAGAACCATAAGGTCACAAATAATCCTGCCGCTGGAACCCCGGATGTCCTTGGCTCATGGGCTCTCTCGTGGACCTCAGGATCAACCTGCACCCCTGAAAGTCTCCCCTCTGGAGGAGACCTCAACCGCAGGTCCCCTTCTATGCCCTTTTCAGCAGGAAGTAGTTAAAGAGGATCGATGTCTGTAATTTCAACAGAAGTTGGGCTTTCCTGTTCAGGGGGGGAATGAGGGAAGGGGTTCTCTTTCTGAGTCCACAAGGGGGCATAGTTTTAAGGGCAAGAATTCCCCAGCCTCATGCCCCCCTCCCAAGTGTCTCCATCCAGGAGATTTAACAGTTTCTGCTCTAATTTTTGTGGGTGCTGGAAAGGGTCAAAAGTCAATCACTCCAGTGGAAGTTCTAAGGAACTCCTTTTATTGGCCTGGGGTCTTAGAAAAGGTGGGAGTTCCTCCCAGGTTAAAAGTTCCCTTCTTTCACACCCCTTTGGACTCCATGTTTGGGTCCCCTTCCATGAACACTCCCTTTGTGGAAGCTATCTTTCTCTCTCCTGGATTTTCCCTCTGGAGTCTCCTTCCACACTCTCGTGGAAGCCTGTCTTCTCCTCCTAAACTCCATCTCTCTCTATTCCCTTCCACTCAGTGTGGAAACTGCTTTCCTCCCCTGGATTCCATCTTTCTGGTTTCTCTCACTCAGTATGAGAGTTAGCTGTTTCTTTCTCTCCTTCTTCCATTTTTTTTTTTCTGTCTCTCTCTAAGTAAATCACTTTCTACAAACACTTTTAAGTCTGGAATTTACTGCACACTGCGCCATGGTCCCCTCTCTAATTCTTGAGAGGGCAGGAGAGCAAGAACCTGGAGAAACATCCTCTCAGGAGAGCTGAGGGCACCCTGAACCCCTGAACCCCAATATTACATTGCCAAGGGAACTTGTAACACTAGAACCTGGAGAGAAGGTCCAGCAGTGTCACTACATCATCCTTTTTTGACAAAGGTTAATAACTAGACAGATGGTGAATACATATGTGTGTGTATATATGTATACATATTTAGAGGCCTACCCCTACTTTTGCAGAACAGGCAGTCACACTTGTATTTGGAGGCAAGAAGTGATGAATTGATAACTAACACTGCTAGGAGTATAATGGTGTAATCTATTTAACTGTTTACAGAGAGAATTTCTGCCTTAGGTTCACTTTCTAATAGTTCTAATATTAACTTTAACAAACTAAAGTGAGAATTAATCTCTATACTTAGCCACCAATATATACTGAAGCCCTATTGCAGATAAATTTAAGAAAAATATGATAATGTCAGTTTACAAAATATAAAAGAATTTATGGCAAATTTTAGAACTATTTGCACATACAAGTATATATGATATATCAGTAAATAATACTTAAAATATGACCTATTTTGTTTATTTAAATAATTTAAGCACCAAACAGTTTTTTACATTTAATTTACACATTGATTTTCAGAATTATAACTTGTGTATTGATAATAGAAATAAAATTTTATTCATCATTATATTCCAAAAGTCTAAATTATCACATACCATAACCTTAATAATAAACTAACAATGAATGAATAAGTAAATGCATGAATAAAATATGTAAATAAGAGGATTCTTTCATCATAGGGAAAACCTATCTACACAGAGGAACATCCTTTTCTGGGTTTTTTGTATCTTTTTCTCTAATTCTCTGTGTGTCTGTAGGTACATATGAATATATGTGGATATGATAGTGGCAGGAAGCAGATAAAATCTAGGCAGACAGGGGCTGTTCCTTGGTGAAACCTGACCTTCAAGCCAAAGACAGTGTTAAGTTTGAAAACCAAGTTGCAAATCTTGGAAAAATCCATCAACCAGATTAAAAACTTCTCTTCCGTTTGGAGCACTTTTATCTGATTGATTCCCACCCTTCATCTGTTGTACAGGTAACTACCTTCCCTAATTGGTTTTTTGAACTGTTGTGACCATCTTTGAGTAGTGGATTTTTTTAGCCTTTTTTGTATACGCACAAGCCAATCATCATGCAGTCCCCCATTCTGAGCCCATAAAAACCCCTAGACTCAGCCACACATTGAGCTGTTTGTTTTCAGGTCCCCTCTCATTGTCAAAAGCGCTTCTGGAGCTCAATAAACATCTTCTCCATCTTTCTTACTGTTTGGTTTTCTGCATACCTTCATTCTTCTTGGATGTGGGACAAGAACCTGGGACCCCCCCCAAAATACAGGTATTTAAAAGGCTGTAACACTGTAGCCCTTTTTCATCTACCAGCACCGGACAGCTGCCCTGCATGATGGGAAGCAGCAGCAGGGCATGCCAGCCCAGGGAG